CGAGGTTCGAATCCCGCGAACGGGCTGGCTGCATGGATGTTTTTCGTGGTTTTCCCCATGTGTAACGTGTGTATACGAGCCAGTTTCCCTTAGAAAGTCCTCCACGAAAGGCATCCCTCCTCTTAGGCAGATAGCCCTAGTGTGCTTTGCCATAAATAAATACACACCACACCATCATTCAAAGATTATTATTAATTGAAACGGTTTAAAGAAAAACCAATTATTATTCCACCTTGAAATTAATATGCGATATTAGAAACATTTTTTATTAATTATACGATGGCGGTAAAAAAGTTAATTTCGTGTGACCTCGTGTCTAGAGCCTTTTGGTTTCCTGGCGCCATCTGTATTTGGTAATAAGAACCGTTCATTTTGGGAGAGTTCTTAAATTTTTTTAAGAAAGCTTTTAGATTTGCTAATGGCGATGTTTGTCGATAGATGGCACCATGAATACTCATATCTATTGCTGGTACACTAATGCCGAGGTTCAAACTTAGAACCTTTTTGGTCATCAACAATCAAGGCAAAAGTGCACTTCGGTATTGAAAAAGCATGTCTTTTCTTCAACAGGTTAAGACGCCTTAGTTGCAGTAACGGTAAAAATAATCACAAAAATTAACATTGGGATACATTTTTTAAAAGAAAATAAACCTATTTAAAAAAAAAAAATTCTGTTATTGCTCTTGACTTTCTCAGTTTGTTAAGCACATGTAGTTATAAGTAAAAGACAATGGGTAGTTATAAATAAAAGACAATAAAATTAACAATGGGATACATTTTTTAAAAGAAAATAAACCTATTTTAAAAAAAAAATTCTGTTATTGCTCTTGACTTTCTCAGTTTGTTAAGCACATGTAGTTATAAATAAAAGACAAATTAATGATCCCATGGTACATCGAATGGAGTCCTTTGTTAGCGTAAAAGATTGAGAAATGTTTTGGTAGCATAACGTAACATAATGTAATGTAACCGCCCCCAAAACTGAAAACTAAACACGTTTACAGTATCAAAATAAATTAATAAATATAACAATTACGTTAATTTGAACAACAATTAAAATATTATACAGGCTGTATAATTTAAAAGCAATATTAAAATTTTTGTTTTAAATGCAATTAAAGTTCCATAGCTATTAGAATTCCTTTGAAGAGACTAAGTACTCCATATAAGTTAGGTTATTGCTTCAGGAATGAAATCTGCGGTAAGATCTCGAAACTATGGAATTCGGAGTATTTATCTAATTATCAGCAGTATTCGATCAAATAAAGCGTTCACAAGGCGAAAGCATCACAAGTATGAAATCTGAGAAAGAAGTGTCAAAAACCTTTCCACTTTATTTTTATACTGCTTTAACTGTTGCTTCTGATACACCTTGATTGTATCGGAGCTTTCTTCGTTGCTTTTGAAAATCAAGAGGCAGGTACAGGTATAAGTGGGTGAGACGCCGGAATTTCACCGCTAGTAGTACAGGTGTTGTCCTACTACATTAACTGGGCAATTTCACCCCAACTCTGATAGAGAGCACGCCGGAAGACGGTTCGAAGGTCTCCTACCCCCGCTTGTCGTACCAGGAAATTGCTCGAAAGAACTTACATTGTAAGTGTCTCATGCAGTACAGATACATCTTACAAACATCTCTTACTTCTTCCGGATTCGAACCATCGGTCTGGCAGTCAACGTCGTTAACCACTATAGAGATTATGGCGGCAATGTCAGGAAGCAGCAGTTTTTCATGATAGAGTATTGTGAATTTCTTTCGCTTTTCATCGAAAAAAAAAGCAATGGTTATCTTTCGCGCTTTTTACTCCATGGGTGATTAATATACGGTCATAATGGATGTTTGAAGAGAATTGTGGGATTATGGAATAACTTATGAGGCAATTATTAAAAAATAGGCTGGGAAATATTTTTGCTGAAATTTATAACTAGCATAATGTTTCATTGGCATTCAAACGTGCCTATGCGCGTGATATTTATAGCACAACAGATATCAAAATATGAATATTAAAAGGGGTTTATGCTCAGATCTATTGCAGTGATTCATTTTCTTTAGATGGCTAAGTTAATGAAATTATTTACTGTACATCAGAAGTTTTATAATATACCAAATACAGGACGTTAATAGCACAGTTTCATGGAAGTTAAAATTTTGAATTATTTCTCCTTATTCACTTCGTGAAAAAGGAATATAGAGCAAAACGGTTGCAATTGAGGCCTCGTCCTGGTCAAATATGACGGGACTCCAACACCGTATTCTCGATCTAAGGAAGAAAGAAAGCTCCAGCATGTCTTGATAAAGTAACCATCATTATTCTTGGGACAGGATGTTGGAATTCTACATCGCAGAATTGGTGCTATCCATCTCATACATATTGTGTTGCCGGTAATGTATGATACAGTTACCGGCATTCTATAGTAGAATACCTGGTCATTTTATAAGATGTCGATAATGGGCATGCAGTGTCTGAAACGATTTCATACATTTCCTAGGCATTCTGCAGAATGACAAATGACAAACTGGCAAAGCATAATTCGTTTCGAATATCCATATTTTTAATATATTTATGATAAGCCATATATAATTCCCTACATTTAATGCATATTTTATTCCATATTTCCATACATTTCATACATTGATTTGTTTATTAAGAAAGAGATAAATTTTGTTTTGTACAATATTCATTTTTTGAATAAAAGTTTTTTAATGCCACTCTCTAATTATTTCTTTAATATAATATTTGTATTTTTGAGGTATGCACATCTTTTAAATAACAGCCTTATCACGACATTTTTCATACTTTGCCGAACTAGCATTTGTCCTTCTACATAATGCCTAGGTATTATATACAATGCCCAGGGAAAGAAAGTATAAAATAATTCTGTCATTTTAAACTTCGTTTTAAAACGCCAGGCATTCCAAAAAGTGTCTAGGTATTCTATAGAATGCCGGCTTTCATACATTTCTGGTAACATATGTTCTGTAATACAAATGTCAGTGCGTGTCAGCAAATAATGTGAATTTCAAAAGAAAGAAAATAAAATTGACATATTTTTCTTACATGCACAGATTGGGTATTATCATAAAGTGAACTAAAATTATATTTAAGAAACATATTCAAGTCTAATATTTAGCTCTCAAGCATATACATTAATTTTACTGTGTCCGTTCAGATGTTTCCTTTTAAAACATTTTACTCGTGCAGACACTTCATCATCTAAAATTTGAGTTATAATTTTAAACTCGTGAAAGTAACCACCGTTTATTTTAATTTCCTCTGAGCGTCAGTTCCATTTTCATTTAACCTAAATCAAACTAATGAAAAGCTACGTTAAAATGCCAACAAACACTGGGAAATGTTTCCCATTACTGAATTACCCCCAACATATTTTTCTACATTTACCAGTTTGGGAAATCTCATTAATTTAATTTCTTTTCCAATTCGATCCTCAGAAACCTTCATAGGCTGTTTTTTTTCCTACTTATTTTTAAAGGGTAATTCATTTAAAGGATTATATTATTGGTTTTTAACTACTTTTCTTGCTCTTAAACTTTTAAAATAATCTCTTTAATCCTGCGGACTTGTTAAAGGAAATTCCATAAAGGAAGATTAAGAATTCAAGCCGTCCGACCATTCATCACTGTTTCCATTTTAAAATTAAGCAAAACGGAGAAATTAACAAAATTATTTGTGATCGCATTATTCTTAAAAGGCCCCTAGCATCTTCGAAGAGAAAAGGCGATGAAAAAAGCCGGTTATAACTGGATTTCGGGGGGAGGACTTTCGAATCAATTTATTCCGGCCCAGGTCCCGAGAGCGTCCTGCGCTCTTTAAAATGTACCATTAATTACCAAAAATGGATTCGCTTCGCAAAATGAAGTAAAATGGGCTTTTGTAAAGTGCGTTACTCGATGTGCCATAAAATTATTTTTATTAATGGTCTTCGGGTGATAAACTTAAAACAATAATTGCCATTGAAAGAGGGGACAATAACTTTTTTTTAATGCTTCTTAAGCAACTGAATGACTCATCGGCCCTTTTTCCGTGGTATGGGAGGCTTCTGTTAGAAAGCAAATAAGAATTCCTAGACTATTTGTCGATGTGGTTTCTTCTATACTTAAAATCTGAATTTAAAGATATTTTAACAGAGAAGAAATCGATTAAAATACTTTAGAAAAAGAGACTGCAATAGTGCAGCTCAACATCGTTTCCAAAATTGTACAGTTTTACTTGAAAAACATATTAGAATTCCTATTTTCCTTTAATGGATTGCAACAGTCTTAAACAGACATTTACGTCTATTCTCTTGTTGAATTTCCCTTCTTGCAAACAGCAGCAAATTTTGACTCAGTTTCACATATTAAGTGAGAGGAATAACTTCGCAATATTAAGCGGTGATTTTAAGTAAAAGCTTATTATATTGTGTTTCGCTACTTTGTATTTGGTTTTCCTAATAAGATGATATATGCAGTAGTTAATATTTTTTGTAGTAATTTGTAGATTTTTCTTAGACTAAGAAAAGATGAGTAAATAGACAAGCCACGCGACAGTTATGCTGGTAACGCTTACTCATGAATACATTTTCTTATTGTTTTTTTTTTTTTTTTCATCTTAAATTTTAAAGCTTTCATCTTAAAAGAACCGACAGATGAGAATTAGGATTTAAAGCTGAAGCTTTTGTAAAAATTATCAATCCTTATTTTATGTTCATTCAGTTGCAACAACAAAAGTGAAGAAAGAGAAATGAGGTACATTTTTGTACCGGTTACTGTTTTACAAAACAATCAAAGAATTATGCATATTTATTTTGCTTTTAGAAAAAAGATCGTTTGTTTAGATTTCGCAGCCAAAGATTTAAGAAATATTAATGGATGACAAATCCTTAAACATGAAATAAATATCCTTGAATACTAGATGGTGTTTCAGTTGCGAAAGTTGTTATATATATGAAATATGTATTTGCTGTTTTTGCTTATATAAATAATAATCTGTTTTCTACAGGTCGTCCGCTGAATAAAGAAACAAGCCCCCAGAGATCACCTCATCAGTCGGCTAGTCGCCATGACAACCATCTCGGGGGAAGGCCAGTTCCCCAGGAAGATCCAGACATTAAGCCGAACAGTAAGTCTGTTTTCTTCTTATAAGATTTTACTTGCAACAGAATAAATATCAGCTTAGGTAGACTCACGGTATGTAGTGTCAGAATCAATCAAAGCTGAAATTTCTCAAACTATTCACGAAATAGAAGAGCTAGCTCAAATGTTTTGGGCATTCATGGAATACTTCGAAGTGAATGAATTGCAATTAAAATGGGATCAGTTACACGAAACATGGTGCAGAAAAGTCTCATTCTCTAAATTCGTCTGTTATTAGCCAATAGAGCATTGTATAAGAATTAGAAGTGGAAATAAAAATTTATTTTACTATTCACTTTTATCTTTGTTGTACACACATTACGTCTACAAAGTTTCGAAACTGAATTTTAACAAATTTCAGCTAACCTGCAAAATGACAACTGGGAGCATTTATTACTGGGTTGTATAAACTTGCTTTTATTAGAATATCGTCTGTTTGTCTGTAGAATTATCTATGAAGTTAATCCTTTGCTTTCATCCAATTAGCATTTTCTGTTAAGGATTTGGAAGCTTAACAAAAGATCGTAATGAAGTTTTTCTGTAAAGGGAGAAAAGGAGGAGACATTTAAAAATGCCATGTAAAGCATACGGGTTTCAAACATGATTCATTGTTTCTATACAAATAACTATACCATACATTAGCTAATGTTTTACACAAAAATGGAGGGATGAACATTTGACGCGTGTCTCAGCCAAGAGCTCTAGGGGTATCTTAGTAAGGAAATTACCAGACAAACCAGGAGAAATAGCTGTGGCCGATTTTAGGCTTGAAACTGCTCACGACTGCTCGGCAACCATCGTAAACTTATCGTCGTGAACAATAAGCGCATTGTAAACAAAGTCCCCGCGAATATTTCTAGGTTTTATAAAAGTTGTTGCATGATGTCGACAAAGACATTTACATTTTTGTTACAGACGTTTTAAAGCAAAACGCCCTCTAGTGACCGCTATTTGTGACTAATTTTTATTTTCTCTGAAAGACATTCTCATCCCTTCATTAAGTCCGCCACAAAATTTCACAATTTTCCGATCACTGGTTTGGCTTGTGGGTAGCTTTGAAATAAGGTTCTTTAATCAGAGACACCCTGTATTTTGGCATATCTTAGGAACATGACAAAATCCATTTCATTAAAAACATTTTTTTCATATTATTTCTGCAAATGAAAATTTTTTATATTTCTTTTTTATAAGTGAGACCTTTTTTTCTTTCTTTAACGAAACTTTAGCCAAGGAATTAATTTATGAGATCCTAAAAAGGGGAAAATAATTTTATATGTTATCATTAAATATTATTCATGTATTTTACGTTGAAAGTCAAATTTAAATTATAATGATTATAAGAATTTTTACTAGAGCAATGGCAAACATATACGTTTATGTATAAATAATTTTAAAGCGAAAAAAGAAAGGGACTTTATAAAAACTCTCTGTGGTAAAGAATTATATTAGAAAAAGTATATGAATATTAATTTTTTAAATAAATATCTTTGTTTAAATTTATGTAAAAGATACTTTTTAATATTTTAGAAATTAAAGCTATTAAGTGAATCATATTCCTTTTTACATTTATATGTTTCATAATTTTTATGATCCCCATTAATTTCAGATGTATTTTTTGTTCTATTGATCCAGGTTTTTTGTTTAAAATATAAAGATGGTAATTATGAAAAATGTATTAAAATTCACAAAAAATCAAATAAATTATTTATTCTTTATTACCGAGAAAAAAATAAATGTTTAAGAAAAAGCTATTTGTTGTATTGTAAAAACAAAATATCCTCTGGATTTTTTCGATGTTGTGTTTTCATACATATATGTCAAAATACTGCTTATATTTTTAAACATCCTGATAAGAAACATATGAATTAGGCAATTATAATCATTGGTTTGATTCAAATATTGGTTATATGTAGTTGGTTAAACTCTAAACTTAGAACAACTAGTTTGAAGAACTTGTTAATCAATTAAAAGTGTAAACTTCAAGGAAGTATCATTGAGTAAATTTTATGTCTTATACTTTCATATTTTAAAATTATGTTTAAAAATTCTTTGCCAATGATGTCAAATAAACTAAAGTTTATTAGTCGCTGACCTAAAGAAATTTTATGTACTTTTTCAAAGTAATTAGCTTTATGTTGTCCTTGAATCAAGGGTCTTAATAAACATGAGCTATTGGAGTACAATATATTAGAAGGTCGTTTGGAATAGATTCTGTGAAATTCTGGTAAATGCTTAGAAAGCAAATTTTATTTTCTGAAAGCAGTTAGTATATCCTTTTCTTCCCAGTCTATTATATTTAAACTACACTTATAACAATTTTTTTTATTATTTTTCTTTCAGTGAGCCCTGATACCCCAGACGCATCCAGGGATTACCATCTCATTTACACTGCCGAAACTTTAGCGATTGCAGTCACCTCCAGTATCGTCTCTTCCCTAGTTGTAGGCTTTATCAGTGGTTATATTTTCAGTCGCAGGTGTAGGAACGAGGAAATGGAATCTCCTTATGATGAAGGACCGTATCTGGAACCTCAACATAATGTTCGGATGGACCCTCACCTGGATCCCTACCTTTCGAGAAATAACAAACCCATTAATCTGGTCCTCAACGTCCCCAACACGAACAGCAAGAATAGCAAGACAGCCAACAGCTCAGCAGACAATAAGCCTGTAGATAAAGTCAAGAAAATCTACTTATAGTTGAAAAGGAATACCGTTGGCCCGATGGATAAGAAATGATAATAATGTGGACTCGCGGCAAAATACGTCGTGTGTAGTAATGTTTCATGTGCGTATGTATCATCATTTCTTGGTTGTCAACAGTTCCGATCAGAAAGTCTTTTTCTCATGCCAGGAAAGGGCGACAACATGCTTTTCTTTTCCTTTTTTTTTTCCGCGCACAGTTTCTTCTGTCTCCTGTGGTTGTAGCATTGATGTTTTTGTGAAACCGCAAAATGCGCGAATGAAAAAATAATATTAAGTGTTTGCTGCTATTTTCTTGAGGACAGTTCGATTTTCTATCACCGCCCAAGATGGCGGTTTTCAAGCGCACGAGAAACTGAAATTGATTGTAGCATATTACTAAACGATCAGTACATCGGTCATTTTTTCAAAAAACATTTCAGGCATTTTTTTTAAATATTTTATGAACTTTCTTCCGTACCAATATATTCCAAAGATCTTTTGGAGGACAAAAAGTAGTGTCCTCGTGTGTGAAATATTTAAGTTTCATACTCAGCATAAAAACAGCCGCGACAAAAGGAAGAAAGAAGTTTGTAATGAATAGCTTCTTGGTGAACTTTCAAACTTTAAAAAAATTCTGAAGGAAGTGATAACTTTTGAATATAATCACCGAACTTTGTCCCTGGTAATGCTCCAGGCTGTATGCCCATAAGGAGACATTCGTATTTCAAAGTCAGCAATTAGATATGTTCTTGGGAAATGGTCTAAGCATTGTGATTCCCACACCCTTCAACTCAAGTTGGATCGCCACTGCTGGGAAGACTATTTGGTATGCTGGCCGCTAAACTATGAGTCATTTAATATTCTTTCTATGTAACTGATATCTTTTCTGATCCTTCGTATCTGATGTCACGTTACATCCATCACTGGCAAGCAATTTGCCGTCAACTATGCAGTACGTCGTTCTTTTGTACAAATATGTGAAAAGTGTATGTGCTTTTTTGTCACTTGTTCTCATTAAACACGAGATTTGAAGGTTTAATCGGAAACAACGTGAAATAATATTGCTTGAAATATTCCCTTACTGCTAATGTTTTATGTCATACAAACTAAATGCAATGTTTAACAAATTTATTTTTTTTATATACGATAATTTTCTTTTCGCCACGTAAATATTTATTTTACGAATGATTTATAATGGTACTCACTTCGTATTTTATGAATTAGATGTCAAAGTTTAGGAAGCCAAAGAATGTTCTAAAACGTCACCTTTTGTGTAAATGCCATTGTATAGGGTCTGATAAATAACATCATTTCTTCAGATACTAAAATAGTGAAATATGATCGTATTTTTTGTCTATGGTGACATTAAAAAAAACGTAATATTCGTGTTCTGGAAAGGAAAACTACATGTTTTACTAACTAAATTGAGGCTTATAGATAAAAATATAATTAACCATTTTATTAAATTAACAATTTTTTTAGAAAAGAAATTATTCATGCAAACTGTGAGATTTTCATAGTTAAGTAGTTCATTGAAAGTTGTGTAATTGATACTATATAAATAAGTAAAACGTGCTGTATTGAGTAATACGTTTGATTTTTAACCGTTTAATTAAGAATATATTTTAATAAAACTTACAAATTCTATAAAAAGGTAGTTTTAATTTTTTTACAGAATATCCTTCTCTAAATATTTCTGAAATCACCAGTATAAGAATTTCAAAAGCTGTTTTAAGACAGAAAATTCATTAAGTTTATATTTTCATTTGTGATCGTTGAATTAGAAAATATTTCAGAGTGTTTCTTTTTAATAAGTATGCTGAAACATTTTAATAGAACTGTAAAGTGAAATAATAATTTACAATGAAAGATGCACATAATAGTGAAACGTACGTAAAATGTTAAGAAAAATTAAATTAAATTCAGATTTGATGCCATTTTTTCTTTCTAATAGATATTATACGTGTCAGAAAGTCGGAATTCGTTCAGTGCCAGAATACGCACAGGAAAAGTCTATCGATATCATTTTACAAATTGAAAAATGTCCAGCATATTTTGAACATTTTTAAAAGTGGCCCAAGAAATTCAATTTCTTTTCTTGTGATATTGTTTCACGTTGTTCATTTGTTGATGTGTACCAAAAGGGAGCATCTCTACTTCCCTAACTCTGAAAGGTTGCGAGAATGACTCGAATGTGACCGTTCTGAGTCATTCCCGTCTGCTTTAGAAACTTCTCTCACTCGTTCAGCGCTTGCAATAAATTGATATCTGCTTTTATACTGAGATAAATTGAATGCTATCTATATATGTGACGTATATATTATATAAATATACCTATCTGTAGTTATGGAAAGTGAATCTTCGCTTTCTAAGTCTAGTTAATTGAAAGCAATTGCTAATGGGTTTCTTTTAACCCAAGTTTATTAATTTATTATCTTTGCTTAAAATGGAGCCAAAATGAGTAATAAGTCTTTTTTCCTCATAGACATTTACGATCATATTCTGAAAAGTGTTTATTTTTTGACTCCTTATCATATCTTCATGAGGAATGAAGTAAATCAATTATTTATGATTAAAATTGAATTTGGTTAATGAAATGAGAATTCTTTTCTTAAATTAACTCACAAATCTATTAAATTGATAGAATATAAGAAAAAATAAACATATGTATTATGTTTTTATTAAGATGATTTTCTGTATGTCCCTTAATTATTGGAATATGAGAAACTAATTTTTTATACCACTAGAAGTACTCCAAAACCGCGAGTCTATGAAATCATTTTTTTAAACAAAATATTAGCAAAAAACGTGGTTTCGGGGAAAAAATGCCCAGTTTTGACAGCTGTACAATAATTCTTATATATTCATTATACAGCATATGCATCTCTTTCGCAGCAGTTGAAATACAAAAAGAAATCTGAAAGGTTTCAGACTTTAAATTACGTCCAAAGGGGCGTTTTCTAAACATTTTGTGTGTTACATTTATTTATTAAATATCACGTTCTTCGCACTTAAACTAAAATTCAGTTCAACAGCAATATCGCAAATAGTTTTAAAATGACCATATCTTTAGAATTTCCGATACAGAGGCTCGCGCGCTAGAGATCAAATTTTTTTTTTCTGTACAACGTTGCCATTGCTCGCTTTGAAATCCTTGAGTTTGTTAAAAATTCGTTAAAGTTTTACAAAATATGAAATCGATAATAAAACAAATTCCAAATTTCAAATTTGGGCTTCCACATGCCCATATTCGGAGGAGGATTACGTCATTCAAAATTCGCTGGCTCTATGTACCGTTGTTTGATTACAATGCGAGAAATATACATATATTTATGCAGATTTTTCATTATTTAATTTGCTTCAAATATAATGCAGGACTCTAACATTTGGTGGCAACAGTTTGAAAAGTGAAACGGACATTTATAGTGAACCAACGCAAAATAGCAAAAGGAAAACAATAGTCCTTCCGGGACAAAGCCCCTTTGAACTAAAAAAAAATATATAGCTAAAAAGTGAATGAAGAGGAAGCAGCAGACTCTTTACTCCGTGTCGTTAAAATATTTGTATTTCTTAGACTCAATATCATTTTACAAATGCAAAGGTGCACAGTAATACTCCTGGAAGTCTTAAGAGCTGTTGATCAATAACGCAGTGTTCCTTTCTTATAGCTTCAAGATAAATATTTCAAATCGAAAATATTCTCCATCTAATAATTAATTTCACATGTATACATCGTGCTGTGTTATTTACCTAGCCGAATGAAGTGCAAGTCTTCGTTTAATCTGGCATTATGCTGCTTACATTCAGGTCGGAATACGGTCTGTATTAAATTCAGGACGTATTTCTCGATGAATCGTTATTTACTTAAGAGTTTAAAGATAGAGAACACTTTCAAATGTGCATTAGCGCTATTAAACTTTCCTCAGTTTTCAAAGAGTAATATTATGTTATAGTCCGATTAAACAATTTTTGGGATAAATTTGTTTAGTTTCAATCCGAATTTTAATGGTTTATAAATACATTCAGCATTAAAGAGATATTTCTATGCTACTGCAAGTTATCTAAAATATCCAAAGTTTAACCTTGTTATAATTTTATGTCTTCTGTTCAGCTATAAGTATAATATATTTTACATCTTTGAAAAATAAATGTGCATAAACTTAACTAAATGTTCTAAAGCAACTAATAGGTTTCTTAACATCTGAAACTATGTTAATTTGAAAAGATATTCTCTTTCAACAGAAAAATATTTTCAGTTTTTTTATTACAAAATTTGTGAAAACGTATCGCATTTTCTATTATCTACCATCTTGGCTCCATCTTATCATTCATGCCCAAATTAAGTTTACGTAAGTGATGCGTCTACTTCATTTAATAAAATTTAAATCACTGATTCTCTTGACAAAAGTCATATACAGATTTGTATTGTAAATAAGGAACATAAATTTAAAGCAATGAATGAAGCAACAAATGAAATAGTGTTCCTTGTTCGAGACATTAAATAAAATTATTTACATTTCATTTAACTTTCGAATTATTTAAAGTGGGGTTTAGAGTAATGATTTAGTATATAATCAAAAGTGCTCCACGAAACACGTTTTTTGAAACGAAGAGTGGATATTACTTATTAATTTTATGTCTTGAATATTCAGTAAGCCTTGAAGTATTATTCCGTTTAGAAAATTGAATAAAAGTTTATATTTTTGTACATAATTATTATTTTGTACTATCCTAATCCAAAGAATTTTCAATTTAGTTGGTATTGTAAAAATGTTTGTGACTCTAAAAGCAGATGAAATACATAGATGTAAATTCCTTCTAAGTTTTATACAGTATTTATTTTCAGTAATAGCTTTGAAAATAGAAACCGAAAAAAAAAAACCTGTTTTCGAGTTTTTAAGTTTCTTGTATATTTTGTATAGTTTATTCTTATTTTTTATGAAATGGATTGATGAACTGTCACAGTAAATTCGAACGATATTACGAGATTGGAAAAGTAATTTATCTAAAGGAATGCTTTTTAAGTTTTCTTGGAATATTTCAGCGGTTTCTAAAATTTTTTTAATGTAGTTATCGAAAGTAATAATATAATGAAAATTTAAAAGATTAAAATTTAATAGCATTTATTTATTTCTGCATATTTAGTAATATTTTCGTGCAACAGGTTTTAATTAAAAGTTAAGCTAATTAAAACCTGTTTTCCGATCATCTAATATATCTAATAATTAAGGACTCCAGACCAATTATATTATGTTTGTTTATCATTTTCGTGAGGAAATTAAGAAGAAATGCTTCTGCGCCCAAAATAATTTCCTGTTTTTCCCCTCTGCCATTCAGAAGAAATTTTTGCGTGTGTGTGCATGTAAATGTTTTGTAACTTTGTATTTTAATGTGTAAGAATTATCTCAGCGCAGAAGTAATGTCACTTAAAAGACATTAAATATTCAGTTAACGCGACACTATATTACTGCTGTTCCGAAGTCTCAGAGATATTCCTTCATCAATTTTTTTTACATTGGTAATTTTAACTTATCTGTGCATTTTATCTTGTTTCTTTTGTTATTGTACAAATATAAATATTTCTGTCTGTCTGTTGGACAGGTTTAGGTTATGTATCTTACAAATGTAACAAATTTATGTAACTCTGATGTATTTAACTGAGGTATATCATCATGTTAAAATGAATAACCTAACTCTTTCAAACTGTGATTGATTTTTTTCAGTTCATGATTGTTCTGACTGGGCGAATTTCGCTCTGCATATCTGGCAATATTATATGAGACTTTCGTCTATTTTAATGTGAGTTTGGGAGAAACACATGCAAATGTATGCATGCATATAGTTTTAAGGATTTTCATTTTCGGGCGAAATATTTAGTTTACCGTTTGTAAATACGCTTTTGTGGTCCCCTCCTTTGCTATGAGATTTATGTTTAAGGTCAGTATTTCTTTCCTTCATTTCTTTAATTTTTTATGTTTACATTTTTTAATCTAGGTAATTTTAGAATGTTTAAAATTATGACTGCTTATCGACTGATTGGGATTTTGTAGAATTATCTAGAATAAAACAAGATTATCTAGTCAAATTGGACATCATGTTTTGACGCTAGAACACATGCAGCTATTTTTTCTTTGAAGTTCAATATATTTGTATGGCATTTAGAATTTTACTTGATATACAAATAGAAAGTATGATTTTTAAAAGTAATTTTCTTTTTAAAATTTAAATATAAAGGGTCATTTTTAGATAAAAGTGTCTTTGCATAGGATATTATTGGTAATGACAACTCCTACACTTTGAAAATCATTTGTTATTTATAAAATTTCTTTCTAATTTGAAATTCTGTGATAAAAATTGGAGGAAAATGTAATTTATGACTTAAGCGTGCGATTTTATGCCAATTTAAAGCAAAAAGAGTGGTAATAGTTGTTCTAAACTTTGCGCTATACAAATGGCGACAAAATGACACTGTTTGAAAGCGATTCGTTCAATCAAAGTATTTAGATCTTATGCGTGTGTATCGTATTAGTTAATTGTTCAATTTTGGAATCATGTTTCTGTTTTTGGAAGAAATATTTTGTTTCTGGAAACGTGTTGATCTATAAGATGACTTTGTATCCTTTCGTCTTCTATTACTAAATAGATCATGATTTGTTGCTGTACATAGCTTCGGAATCAAAGGAAGTTCTAAAGTAGTAATTCAGACTAGTTCAAAAAATTGGCTTTTGAAATTAGAATAGAAAATGAGAAGAATTATTTCGTTTGCCGTACGCAACGATTTGGAAGAGTTCGAAAGCTTGATTTGACCGTGAAGTGACTGAAGGGGATGTCAGCTGCATTTCGGAAAAGAAACTACTTAAATTTTCTGCAGTGTTGCGAGATGATAAATATTAAGCCAAAGTTTAAATTTTAAATTCGATAACATTTTTTTTTAAAAAATTGAACTGCTATTCTTTGATTTGTAATTTTTTACCTGAAAATGAACTCTGAGATAAGCAGTATGATGTTGAAAACAGTTCTTCGAATTCCTTTAATAATCCTTAACATTTGCTTTCCTTAATTTATATTATATAACACTACCAGCAATATGTATACAAATTTTTCGTCAACAAGTTGTACATCATTTTTCGTATATCACATTGTACCGAGATGATACAAATATAAACTTTTGCGGTATTCTGCGTTCACATTTATTTTTACAAATTTATAAGGTTTATAATTTTAACTATCTGCTAGGATATACTAAAGCGCTAGGAGTAAATGTTATGTTCTTTTCAAACATTAAAAACAATCAGATTTTGAAGAGTTAATCATTAAAACGGAAGAGGTGATTTGGTATTATTTTGCGCTACATCGATTTAATTTTTAGAATTAAGGTTTTGGCAATATTAAATATCATTTGTGTAGATAAATTATAGTTTTAAATAATAAAAAAGTAGCACCTTTATATGCAAAAATGTTTCAATTGCGCATTTTTTGTATCAGCAAGCTTGCACTTTTGTATGCAAAAAAAAAAAAAAAATGCAAACAAATATTTCTTATACGTTTAACATGAATGTTAAAAACATTTTAAAGCTAATCCTTAGCTGTTTTGGAAAAAAAACTGAAGGTAATTAATCTTCATAACAATTGCTTACCATGGGCAACAAATCAAAATTATTAATAGAAAGGATATTGCGAGGTAAATAGCGCAAACATGTTTTGGTAAATAATTTTGATATTCTGAGTAATGATGTGATTATAGAGCATTGTTTCCATTAAACAGAAACGCATTTTCTACTGTCTTAAACTAGTATTTTTACCTGTGTGAATTTAAGAAAACAAGGTTGTAAATTGTTTTTAAAATATTGAGTAAAATGGAGATTTCACTCAAACATTATTATTTTGAAACTTCAAAACGTTTATTTAAATGATAAAAAAGTAATTTGGTATAGCTATACAAATAGAAAAAATTTAATAAGAGAAATCTTTCTTCATAAAAATGAAAGATTATTGATTTTATCTTAAGTTAAAGAATATATTTAAGA